ATATTTGCATGCGTGATCTTAAAGGGACTGGAGACAATCTGGAGGGTTTGGTATCTGTGGGAAAGGCCTGGAACTTACGATAGGCACCCAGCTTCTCTCCTCTCTTCAGGAGACAAGCTCCGCGGGCTATGAATCGAATACTATCCTCCATGGGTCTTTCAAGTAAAGCATCTAAGCGCCCCATTTCCTACACAGAGAACAGGAACCGTAGTAACTAGCCCAGGCAGTCTGGAAACTACTTAGAGCATTCCTAACTGGATGCCTCATACTGAACACGATTTTCAAGCCTGCAGAGCGGACAGAGCAGAGGCTTTTCAGCAGCTTACTGCACTGCTGTGTTCCAGCTTCCTCAGGGCAGGCACATTTAAGTTATCTCCCCCCTCACAAAGGAAACTATCCCAGAGCAATTTCCCCAAGCCCATCCCTTCTGCCTTACCTGCCCCAGGACATCCCCAGCATACCCCTCCCCCTGCTTCAGTGCCAAGAAGCACCGTCTCGTCATCTATACCTCCTGACAGGAGCACCACAGAAATCCCTTAAAACAAACATTTCTACAAACAGGAGACCATGGAAGTCTCATTTCTTGTGGGTTTGTGCTCTTTACCATTAGCTCTCCTCCACAACATACTCAAATCCCACTTCCATCCCACTGCAGTGTTGTCGGCGCCAGGTTTAGGGCTCTCCCTACCTTACACGATAATGCATGTGACTGCACATACCTCACATACCTGGACCTCTTTAGTTCCAAACCCGGGCCAAACTCTTTATCAAGGGGTTGAGCGTAACCCTACAGCTTTACCATGGGGTTGGATTCTCCTTCTAAGCATTGCCTGAGTCTTTCTGCCCCTGAAATCCTGCTTGCCTTGTGCCTGTGGGTATAAAAGGCAAGGTGTGTTATTTACCAGAGGAGAATCACGCTGATCCTATGCTACGGAGAGGATCCATAGACCCATTAGCTGTCAGAGATCCAAGCCAGCAGACCTTGAGCTGCAGAGCTGAGCGCTGTGAATGGCTAATGGGGCACTCTGCTGCTTCCAGCCACCAGCTGAGCCTGCTCAGGCAGCCAGCCCCACGCCTGCTGTAGCCATGCCCTCGGTGAGGCTTGGAGCCGGAGGCAGGGGAGAGATGCTGCAAGGCTCTCAGTCCTTTAACATGGGGCTCTTCCTCTGTATACCTCCGAATTTCAGTCTCTGGGGTGTCGATGCTCTTGGTGGCATCCTGCGTATGAAATCTGAAGTCGTTCCTTTTTGTTTCTGCTCTTTACAAGAAGAGCTCTTCAGGGCCAGGTGTGCTCCTCGTTGGTCTTGGTAGAGTGTTTATCACAACGGGGTTTGCTGCTGGCCTTGCTTCCTCTTGCTGCAGTTGTGATGCAACACGGTGTTAACAACACAACCTGAGTCACCAATCCTTTTCCAGACTGTCCATGCTGAAGACTACCCCTATTCCCTCCAAAATCCTAGCTGTTGCTTTTTGGTATGCCACCTAAACATATGATGTTCTGATTAAACAAAGACTCCAAAATGTAGCATTTCTTATTTTGGAATTCGGACTTATTTCAGTTAATGAATAACAAGAAAATGTACCTTTATTCTAAAAAAAAAAAAAAGAAAAAAGAAAAAAAGAGCATACTTGTGCTTAATCGTTATTCTAATTACAAGTTCTGGTGTAGTGTAAATTTTTTCCCTTGGCATTATTATGAACCTCATTTCCTTACAAAGTCCAGGATAAACAATTCCAATATATTTTGTTTTAATTATCAGGGTTTAATGGGGCATAATGAGACTATGTTGAGTGGTGCAGAAAAAAAATAATTTAACGTGTGCAAAAATACTGAGTGCTCCTAGCTTGACTGTGCGTATTTCACCTATTGTAGGGCAGCCCTATGTTAGCTAGTATTCAGTGTGCCCATCATTTATTTATTAATCATACTCGCTTTTCAATAGAAAATTTTCCTTTTTTTTCCCTGGCATCTGAAACAAGAAGAAACCCATTAAGATATCCTGGAAAAATGGACAATTCTCTGAGTTGAGCAGTGAAGGATGCAGCTGATACACAGCTGATGGTGATGGTGCTAGAAGCATTTGTCATGTCACAGACAGAAGATGAGAATGTGTTAGGCACAGAACCTGCCTCAGCCAGCCCATTCCAAATGCAGTCCTTCTTCCAGCATTATTTGGCAGTGAAAACTCCCGGCTTCAGTTCTCATGGCTCCTACCAAAAGAAGCATACACAACATCAGCTGAAGTCGCCGTTCAGAAATCACCTTCTCTGGACTCTCATTGTAGGTACATTTTCCCACTCCCAAGGTGTGGTTCCTACAGACTTAAAATGCCACAGATAATTTCTGCAGTGAAAAGGGAAAAGTGCAAAACAGCAGCCTGGGAAATAAACCAGTAAAGTGAGATTGCGACTCTTTATGCTTTCCAAGGTCCCTTTGCCAATGGCACTGAATCCAATGGCTGGGTGTGGCTGATACAGCAGTTCGCACCACCCTGCTACCAAATCTATATTCTACTTTACCAGGGTGACCAAATACCAAGATCAAAACACCCTTTTTTTTTCCTCCCCCCCTACACAGAAGTTTTACATAGGCAGAGGAATATTCTGGCCATTTGTCTGGGAATTCTGAACATGAGGTAGTGTGGGCAGCATGGCAACGATGGGCTGTTCTGCCGAAAGGGTGAACACTTTTGTTCTGCCATGCTGAGCACATACAGCAGGTTTGAAACGTTGTGGTACTGGAGTCCCTGTGCCTGCACCGCACAGCTCACGCACCACCAGTTCAACACGTGGTCTGCCAGATGGAAATACAGCAGCCCTATTACAGCCTGTTTCTGTGGCGTGGGGGAATCAAGCCTTTTGTCCCCAACAGAAATGAGCTTCTGAATGCTCCACTGCCTGTTCCAGCCTGGACCGAGCACCAAGTCCTTTGCCATAACTGCTGCTCCCAGCAGCAAGACCTGCTCTTGGAGCTGTTCTGTCATTGGAGTGTCACAGCTCTGCTGATACTTACAACAGTCTCTGCAGCCTTCGAGAGAAACAACTAGGTGGAAGAAAAGCCATCTCTCCAAACTGACCCATGCATGCCATCCTTTCTTTTTGAATCCTTGTCCTGCTCAGGCTCCTCTGTTCCACCCATTCCAGGCTGTAGTTCCCATAAGCACATGCCTGGCCTACACTTATGGGGCAGTCTTCTCACCCATATATTGTATCTGTGAATAACAGCATTTCTTTTGTCCTGGCTTTCTAACTTACTGAAATTTTAATGAAGGTATCCCAAGATATTACAACATACATGAAAATAAGGCCTTGCACACATCAAGAAAAACTGAAACCATCTCAGGTATGTTAAGTTCAGGACCTCCACAAGGTAGGCTTTGTTACAAGCACCACATGTGACCAACCTGAAGGGCTTTTATCTCTATACCTAACGCATGTAAGAGTTATAAGAAGCTTCAATGCAAGTTCCACTTCAGGAAAAATTACTGGATCCTCCCTGAAGGGAAACACATCTATTCTGCTTACCTTACTATACACCTTGACATGGAGTCAGAGGACTTGATACAGTGCCCACTGAAGCCATTGGGAATGTCTTCTCTTCTAGAAAAGTATTTGATTCACGACTCTGGGAAGGAGGTTCAAATACAACACAAATAACCAGACCAATGTTACATTACATTTATTTGAAAATTAACATTTTATATTACAGATTAAGTTAATAAGTGTTTGGGTTTTAAATAAATCAAATCTATTACAGACATCAGTATTTACAGAAAGAAAAACATTTACATAAATAATTTGGGGTTTTTTAAATCTCACTGGAATAAAAAAATTCTCCATGAAGTTTCTACCCATGGGAGATGTCACATTCTGTGAGAAGTCAGCCTCCTTCAAGGTTTAACGGAGACAAGAAACTTAACCAGGCTTAAGTTACAACTCAATGAGTTGATTGAGAAACTGCAATGGGCTGGTTACCTGCATTAAATTGTAGCAAGCCTGAAAGACCTCAGGGGGCCCTTTCCAAGTCTATGTCCTATTCTTCAAGAAGAATGGAATGGAATCTGTGAGTACCTTCCATCAACCTTGCCTCAGATACAGGACCAGGCCAGCATCCAGCATATTCTCATGGACCTCCAAAGCTTAGTGGTCATCTTTCTTCCTGCTAAACTATGGGGATTCTGACCCAAGCTTAGGATCCCATTGTACAGCCACTGTATAAATACACAAAGGTGATCTCTGCTGCCACACAGCCTAACAGCCACAGCAGACCATGGTGGAAGAGAATGATTTCACGAAGAGGGGGACTGGCTGACCCTTCATCGTACAGAGGTGCCCCTGAGTTGAAAGCTATGTTTGCTGATTCACAGACAAACACTTGGCTAGCGAGTCCCAAGGGGACTTACAAGGTCTCCGCATTTGGTAGAGTTGCATAAAGAACTGGGGGAAGAAGGGCATTTCCGGGTAATGCATGAACTGCAGATGGTAGAGGCCTCTGACATTAGCTCTGGGCAAACAACTATCCTGAAAGCTCTATGTGGAAGTGTACATCCCCACCAGATCATGCAGTCAAAACTGGATAAGGCTGTGTTACTAAGAGACCTGCACCCCATCCTGGATTGAGGTAGGATACCGTGCCTGTTAAAGCATCAGAAATTGTGAGCCTCAATGTACAGAACAAGACCTTAACCTGAATGCTTAACTTAATGCGTTTCAACTCTGTCACATAGCAAGTTCCCATTTTAATAGTTTCCTCTGGTGTACAGGCACTCAAAGAGCTCTCCATGCAGGTCAGTATACCCTCCAGAAGCCTACAGCTCTTCAAAAGCCAGCCTTTAAACACCTCTCCACACAGCCATGGTGAGGGGAGAAGGATTTGAAGCACAGCTGAGTTTCTGGCTCTCCTGCCCTGTAAACCAAAATGCCATCTGCCTCGGTATCTTCAGTGGCAAACGGGGAACTGAATCCAGGCACACACCAAATGCAGACAAAAAAAGGTCCTGTTAATGACAACCACACCTGGTTGCCACCATGTCTTTGTAATTTTTAAGGACCACATTCTCTTTGTCATCAAAGTAGAGAAGACTGAGGGACTTCAATTCATCTGGCACACAGCAGGGCGTGCTGACATCTTGAGACAGTTTAAGTGTATGGACTATGGACTGAACTGTAGCATGGTTTGTTGCATTTAAACCTTCCCCCAAGGGGAAAAGACAGGATCCTCTGCAATAAAATGCATTGTATCCACTTGGGTAGATAATCCACCCTGACCAGCCAATAGCACGGAAGTCAACATAGAGTTCCCTTCGATGACATGCTGCTACCTGGCTTTTGGCAGAAGGGATTGCAGCAGCTCGAGGTCTCCTGCTGATGCTTCCACTGCTGCTTTCGATGATCTCAGTTTCATGAGGCATGCGTGAAGCATCGTTTTTGGCAGGGTTCATATCTGGTTGGGAAAGGAACTTGCGTGTTAATCTTTCTCAAAAGAAATTAATTTCCTAAGTACAGTATTCTGCATGAAAGTCTATTCCATAAATCTACCTCAAAGTCTTCAGAGCAGATTTTAAAATGACACTTAAAACTGTGAAAGTACCAGAAAGGATGTGTGAAATTGCCATTTCAGCCATATTTCAAAACCTGCCAAATCTTGTGTTTCACTTTGTGGCCTGAAAGGCCCCAACTCAGCAGAAATACAAAGGAAAAGCTCAATGATATACTAAAGACATTTGGTGAACTCCACAGGCCCTTTTCAGGGCTGAATCTGGTCAGAATGGTATTAAAGGTCTTTGTATGGCCACTCCTGCAACACACATCATACTGAACAGTGCTAATGGAGGGTGGAGATCACAGTCTTTTTCTCTCTCCAGTATTCTCTTTCCAGGAACTCTACCCATACACTTGCAAAACAGAGTATGTTCCTGTAAAGCAATATTTTAAAAAATATTTTTCAGTTTTTGGATCTAAAAAAAATTACCACCAGGTTTACGGAACTCTGCTAGAGAATGAAGCTTACTGACAATAGGTTTGCTTTCTTAAAGTATCTTCTGAGAAGCCTTGATAACTGTCCATGGAGACCTCAAGATCCACATACAGAGGCTAAAAGCCTCTGTGTATCAGTATACACAGGCTGGTAGAAGAACAATCTGCACAGATTCACTGATCACAAACAACAGGCAGGTCTAGGGAGTATCTTCATTGAGAAATGGGTATAAATTTCTCGATCCTGACACAGTATCCCATACAGAGCTTGATGCTCATCAAATTGGGATCTAAGGCTTCACTATAAAAATTTTCTTTGGAAAACAAAAATAAACAGGCCAGCCGCATTTTTGTTTTTAATCAATTTCACCACCTACTTCTTAATATTGATGTAATTTCTACACAGTTTCTTCCCAATATGCAAATTCAATCGTCTACAGAAAACCCTGCAAACCAAGATGCGGGGTGACCTACTAGCAAGAACTATCAAATCAAACTCTGATCAGTGACAAAGCTGAACTTCAAACCTGTTCAACACTGCAAATAAATACTGAGACTAGGTATACATGAGGCAGCAGAAGGTAAAAGAAAATGAACAGGGAGTTCATATTCTAAAACAGAGCTGCTGCTTTCGTGTGAACTTACTTGTGGAAGAGGGTACAAAGCTGGAAGACCTCCGTTTGTTACTGTTGGTGAAGAGGACAAGGAGAGCATTTCTACTCTCCTGCAAAGTGCCCTGGCTCTTGGCAAACTTAACCAGGTTGTGCTCAATTCTATTGTTGAATACATGTGTTGTAGTTATCAAAAAGCCATGGTTGGACTTGCTGTTTCCAACCCACTTGGAAACCTGTTAATGACAGGGAAATGAAAAATACTGTTTCAATATTCTTATTACAGCATTACAATTGAGCAATGTTTATATTAGGAAAGGGAACAGGCAACAAGCCATCAGAGCATAAGAACATATATTATGAAAGAAGTGAGGTAACTGTATAGCTGAGACTCAATTGAGTTTAATATTTAAACCAGTAATTCAACATTTAAAAATACAAAATACCATATGCATTCCCCAAAGCTACATTTAGAGGAAGATAATTAATTTCAGAGAACTTACTAGTGGATAGATGAGTCTAGGAGTTAAAATTAACATTAAAATAAATCCGCTCTGACTTCAGCCAGGAATTTATTTTTCATAGCAATCTTAGTAACAGAGTAATATGAACTCTCCAGACTTTCCATACCATTAAAACTCATTTAAATCTAACAAACATGGCATTTGAAGAGATTAACTTGCAATCAAGCAAATTTACTTTATCTAATTGTTATAATTACAAACTAATAGATAAGGCCAGGCCACTCTCAAGCAGGGCTATCATGGCTTAAGATGCAACTCCACCAATCATCCAAGTACACTGTTCAGTCTCATCATAAAGCTTAGGCAACAGAAAACACTGTCCGAGAATACAGATTTAAACCCAAGAAACTGTATGTTTTAAACCACATCTGTTTTTTTGCTACGCAAAGGCATTCACATACTGTTACAGTTTAAGGATATCTACAAAACACATCCTGAAACTAACAAATAAAGAAGTCTACAGAGGAAGTTAAATGAAAAACAATCCAACCCTGATCAATTCCAGAAACACAACGTTAAAGCACACTGCACATCTGCTCTGTCGTAATGTCACCAGAATAAAAAGGAGAAATGAAAACCTGTTCTTAGTACACGATCAATGCCATCTCCTTTGGCAGCCTAAAGACTAACGTGTTAATCACAATGACATACTTGGCCTGACGTCCCTCCTATCGATTAGGTTTGGGTTACTCAATTCTCATCATGCCTGTGCTGCTAGCAGCATATAAACACTTCTTTAATTCAGGTAGCACCAAGGTGTACTTGTAAGTGTAGAAAGCAAGCTTCTCTTGCTGCTGCTGTCCTTCAGTTTGAACTGACCACAAAACCCAGCATAAGGGCAATGCTGGAGTTACAAGCTGACTGTCATCTTAAGAGATTCAGAATCAAGTCAGAATTCTCTGCTTACTGTCTGTGTGACGTTGAATACTTCCCAGCCTTCTGTGTACAGGGACAATAATCTTGATGCAATGAGATTTTTTTTTTGTGGCTTACTTCCACTCTCCAAGAGCTCATGCACTTCCACCTTGATGAGAGAAATATAACAAAACAGTAAGAAATGAAACCAATTGTTCTTCCAGCGAAACAAGGAGGATGAAGATTACGCATATTTCTGCCACATCATAGCTGTAAAACTGTACTGTCATTCTACACCAGGCAAAAAGTAGTTTTTGGACAGTTTAACAGAAAAACAAGTATTGCTACATACATCTACTTCTAGATGTGTGCAGAGGCACGATACTGGACTGTTTGATACTGTAGAAAAATATCCTGACCATCCCTTTTCTTTCTATTTTGAACATCTGATACGACGAAAGTCTTCTGTTCCTCCACATCTTTGCCTTCAGGTTTGCAAAAAGTCCAATCCTGCCTTTTGCCAAGGGGGCAGATACACTCAACGTCAGAGTCCCTACCTGCCCCATTTTCCTACGAATCCCTGATTGCTATTATTATTTTTTTAGAGCAGCTCAAGCAGATAAATTTCGATTCACATTTCAAAACATCTCAAACCCCAGAAAAGTACAGTATGGTTTGAGATAGGCCTGACACGGGTATCTTTAGGGAGAGCTCACTGCCATCGTGCGCAAAGGACAGCATACTGCCAAAGCCAAAACCTCACGTCTACTTTTTTGCATGCTGGAGGCAAAGAGTGGACGACAATCAAATAAAAATAAAGCAGGTTGATGTGGTCAGTGGTTGCACTCCTCACTTTCAGTATTCCTAACAATGAAAGCACAAGTTAAGTGTTCAACTGACACGTTATTTCCCCGCTTACTTTGCAAAAGTGTTTCACGTCAGACCTTCCAGACACATGGGTCCTCTTCAGCTTGAAGACCCTGAACTCGGCTTTCAGCATCTGCTCGCCCTTCTCCATGGCGCTGACGTCGAAGTAGAAGCGGTACTGGTCCACGTGAACTGGAAGAGAGCCTTCTTTAGCAACAACCCAAGACCCCGCAAAATAAGCTGCAGCCCCGCGTCTTCCACAGCAGCTGCCAGCTCTGCTCAAATCTGCGGGACACGCACACGACGCCAAGCAGGAGGTGGAGGAAGGGGCTCCGCAGCAGGTGAAGGGGCTCCGGCGCGGGCACGGAGGCCGCCCGCCCCGCCCGGGAAACGCCGGCGCTGCTCTGCTGCGGGGAATTCGCCTCTCGGCTCGGCCCCCGCCGCCGCCCCCCGGCCCCGGCAGGGCCCCCGGCCCACCTCGGTCCTCGAAGCTGCGCACCACGTCGCCCTCCAGCAGCCCCGGGGCGCGGGTGATGCCGTTGGCGTCGGCCACCCTGTTGAAGAGATCCACCATGAACTGGGGCGGCTTCCTGCGGGGCAGGACGTCGGGCGGCAGCTCCTCGATGTCGAAGAACTCCCGCAGCC